GTAAGCTCGTTTTAACCCAGATCACCAAACTCTTGATACGCAACAGCTAACACGAGGGCAACAGGTACTTTGGTCACAACAACACCGCCATCAAAGCAATCAACAGCATCAGAGCCTACATGCCCACCGTCGCCCACTGGGGCTGGAACGGCAACGCCCGCCGGTACTGGGACTTCCTCTACGGCGCCAAGAACCAAGGCATCGAGCGCCAGCTCCACCACTACGGCTCCGGCCTCAACTCGCTCCCGATGCTGCACCACTTTGAGCGGAACCCGTCCGACGTCGACGCCCTCCGCGTCGCCTTCGCCGGCAACACGGCGCCCCTGACGAACATTGACGCCGAGGGCTGCCCCTCGGCGGCGTTCCACTCGTTCCCGGAGCATTTGGCGTGGGATCCGTATACCGGCGACTACGGTCTCGGGTTCTTGGGTTTGGGTCTCGGTCAGGGTGTGTATATTGTCAACCACGCGACGTACGGGGAGGTCGTGTTTGGCGGCAACGTCGTTTCGTCGACTGAGACTTCTGTGGTTGCTGAGCCGAGGGACGCGGTGCGGAGGCGTGTGTTTGTTGCGGATTTGGGGTTGAAGGTTGATCTCAGCGCCGGTGCTATTCAGACTGTTACTTATGATCGCGAGGGCCAGACGGTGAAGTTGAGTCTTGGTGCTGCGGCGTCTGAGGCGGCGCTGAAGGCTAACTCGACTATTGTTTGGCTTGAGACGACGTCGGGTGATGCCAAGTTCACGGTGTCTGGCGCGAGTGTGGCCAGAGGAGGATATCTCGTCGACTTGTCTGGCGGACAGGTTGAGGTCACCATTTCCAAGGCGTGAGATGGTGGTTGGATTATACTTTGAATTCTAGTACATATTTAGATCCTAGCACACGGGGCTTCTCAGCCTTGTAAATTCTATTCTTATTCAGTTGTCAATCATGTCACATTGGTAAACACTTTCGCTAGGCATTATATATTCCCATCATCTCTTTACGACCGATCTGAACAGAGCAAGGACTTCCACAAAACCAGAAAGCAGCGTCAAAGTCTGAACCGACGATTACAACCTGGAACCCAGCCCAGTCAATAAGTATGGACAAGTCAACTCAAACATCAGACGGCGACAACTTCAGATGAACCAAGTCAACTCAACTCAACTACGGGAATGACTAAGAGAGGTGAACGCCAAGAAACAACGTTCCACTTCTCCAGATTACCCCACAAACTTAGCTGCAAGACTCCTCCTTCAAACCCCGCACGCTCCTCCTCCGTCTCTTCCCATTGATCCTCTTCTTTCTCTTCTTCTTCCCCTTCTCTTCTCTTGATTTGTTCCTTGATTATTACCGAAGATTCCCCCTGGCTCTCTCTGCCAAGCGATCGACTCCCACCCTGTCTGCCCCCTGCTCAAGATCCAAAGGAACCACGACTCGTGTTCGGCTGCAGAACTGCAGAAAGTTCCCCAAACCTAACCACCCATCATTGACCCGAAGTCACCGAACCCCATGGGGCCGGAGGAAATACCACATCACCTCGTGCCCGCCATTTCCACCAAGAAACCCGGACCCGAGATGACAATGACACCAAGGACAGAGGGACCCTGCGGGGACTCTCTACTTAGCCTAATTCGAGGCATTGACATCACTTGAATCCCCAGTACTTGGGTCAGGGGAGAAACAACATCAATACGCTTGCCTCGGGGTAGCAATGCCGCGATACACCACCCCAAAAGCCTATGAAGCTGCACAACATATCACGAACCGACCAACCTGACCTCTCTTCCGCCTCACGTCTAGATCTCGAGACTAGGCAGGGTGCCAGACCGCACCGCATCCGTCCACAATGGTCTCATCCTCATCGTCCTCCCTCCTCCTAGGCCTCGCCCTTCTCTTCACAAACACAGCAGCCCAATCCTGCTGGCGCAACGCAACCTGCACCCACCCAACCGAAGCCTCCTTCCCGGGCCCCTGGGACGCAAACATATACGCCCCAGACTCCCGCACAGCCCGCCCAAAGTCCATCCTCTCCCTCGCGACAGGCGACCAACTCGCCTCCTTCCCCTCTCCCGAGTCACAAACCCTCACCGGCAATGGCTCCGCGCTCGTCTTCGACTTTGGCGTCCTCGTCGGCGGCCTCACCTCGGTGAACTACACACTCTCCGGCACCGGCACCGGCAACACCACCGAGCCCGTGACCCTCGGCCTCGCCTGGACGGAAGCAAAGAACTGGATCGGCGAGTACTCGGACAACTCCAACGGAAACTACCGCGGTCCGGGCCAGACCCTCATCTCCGTCGACGGCGCCCTCTTTCACCAAATCACCGTCCCCGGCCCGGGCTCCTACACCGTCCCCTTCCCCCAGCTCCGCGGCGGCTTCCGATACCTCACCCTCTACCTCATGACAAACACCTCGTCACAAGCCCTCACAATCGACGACGTCTCCCTCGAAATCGTCTTCCAACCAACCTGGTCAAACCTCCGCGCCTACCAAGGCTACTTCCACTCCTCCCACACCCTCCTCAACAAAATATGGTACGCGGGCGCCTACACCCTCCAAACCAACGCCGCGCCCCCGGAAACAGGCCGCGTCCTCACAGAAGACATAACCAACGGAGGCTGGTCCAACGACGCCTGGCTCGGCGTAGGCTCCTCCCTCCTCCTCGACGGCGCCAAACGCGACCGCTGGATCTGGCCCGGCGACATGGGCGTCGCCGTCCCCTCCGCCTTCGTCAGCACCGGCGACCTCGAGTCCGCGCGCAACGCCATCCAGACAATGTTCGACTTCCAGCGGGACTCGGGCATCTTCCCCCGCGCGGGCCCGCCGTACCTGGACGCCACGAGCGATGCGTATCACATGTGGACCATGATTGGCGCGTACAACTACGTCCTCTTCTCCGGGGATACGGACTGGCTGGCGGCGAACTGGGCGACGTACCTGAAGGCGATGGACTACATTTACGGGAAGCTCATACCCGAGACGGGGATCCTCAATGCCACGGCCGCGGGCGATTGGGCTCGGTACGTCAACTCGCTCAACGGCAGCGCGCCGAACATGCTCCTCTACCGCACCCTCACCACCGGCGCCTTTCTCGCAGACCTCGCTCCCGCCAGCAACACATCAAACCTCACAGCACCAGCAGGGACAAACCTCACAGAAACCTGGCTCGCCCGCGCAGACGCCCTCAAGAAAGCAATCTTCACCCACCTCTGGGACCCCACAAAGGGAGCCTTCATCGACGGCTACAAAAACCGCACCCTCTACCCCCAAGACGCAAACGCCTACGCCCTAGCCTTCAACCTCGTCGCCCCCTCCAGCCCCGAAGCCGCCTCCATCTCCAAAACCCTAACCCAAAACTGGACACCCATCGGCCCAGCGTCCCCCGAGCTACCAGGTAACATCTCCCCCTTCATCTCCAGCATCGAAATCGAAGCACACTTCGTCGCAGGCCGCCCCGATCGTGCGATGCAGCTCATCCGCGACAGCTGGGGGTGGTACCTGAACCACCCCAACGGCACGGGCTCGACCGTGATCGAGGGGTACCTCGTCGACGGCACGTTCGGGTACCGCAAGGGCAGGGGGTACACGGATGACCCGAGCTACGTGAGCCACGCGCACGGGTGGAGTTCGGGTCCGACGAGCGCGATGACGGAGTACCTCGTCGGGCTTCGCGTCACGGCGCCCGCGGGCCGGGAGTGGAGCCTGAAGCCGGCTTCGTTTGGCGGCGAGGCGGAGGGGTTGCCGGCGGAGGCGGAGGCCGGGTTCACGACGGCGCTGGGGCGGTTCAGTGCCAAGTGGGTCGTTGAGGAGGGCGGTGGGTTTGCGAGCGTGGAGTGGGATGTTCCTGAGGGCACGAGGGGATGGGTGCAGCTTGGGGCCGAGGAGGGACGGTGGGTTGAGGGCGGGAAAGGAAGCGCGAGAGTCGCGTGTGGAAAGGGGACGGAGGGTCGGGGGAAGAGACGCGCGGCCTCCGGGCCGTGATGGAGTGAACGCGGATAGTAGTTCTGAGTACCATAGATAAGCCTTTCTTAGAGGTGATGCGTACCTTACGGATAAAATATTCTGACCTCTTGGGCAATGTTTGTGTGATTCTACCCCCGAGAACCCCGTTATATTAGAATACGAGTTTTTTGCCCAAATACGAGGCCCGAACACTCCGCTCGTCGATAAGGGAACCCACTTCAACGGCTTTCCTTGGTCCCTAGACTCGAAGAAAAGGATGGCCTCTAGGTTCCCCCGTGGACTTAATGATCTCTTCCCACCGGATACCCGGCGGTGATACCTACCAATCACCCCGGGGCTCCGCGGCCCTGTTGGCTCCGTTGGCTGTTCGAATACCGAGACATGCTTCACTAGCTCGCGAGTGCGCACATTGCGAGCTGCTAGTCCCAGGTCCAGATGTCTGTGTGCGAATGTGAAGGGACCATTGCCCTTTTGACATTCATCACACAGGCGCAGTCCAAGCGGGATTCGAGCTAGACCTTGGGCTACGCACGGATTTCCTCGAGAGAAAATAGTAGCACTTTGAGAGTATCTGAATAGCAAACAAAGCTGCAGTTTGTGCTTTCAATAAAAGTCGTGGTGAGTCACAATCATCATGAAGGAATTGCCCTTTTGTTCAACTGCGTTTTCCTAATCTGGGAAACGTTGAGCCCCTTACAAGTAAACATGAACCTACAAGACCTTTCTTCTAAAAGACCAGACGACGATCCTCTGGATTGACTTTCCTGACATGCACCGAAAGCCGCCGCCACTGGACAGAAGGTGGCCAACGTTTCAAACGGTCCGAAGCCTCTCGCAGCAGCCCTAAACTCTCGTAAAAAGTCGCCGCTAATGTAACCGTCATTTGGGGGAGTACACAGCTGAGAGCCCGGGTCCGACGGAAGTGACGCACGTCGCTAGTGATGGGTGATGTAAACTCGATTGCATGATGAGGAGCAATGTGAGAGAAATTGAGGATGTATGATGAACTGTGCTGGTTTTGATATTGACAATTCCGGGTATCTTTTCTGTTTTTGTGCCTTCAACGTGAGAGAGTTGGAGGCTATTCAAGGTCCTATGTTCCGTAAGAACTTGATGAACCATCGTCTAGAATTACGACACGGCTGTCGGATATCCAAAATCTCTCTGTGTCTGCGCCATGATATCCCAAAAGTGTCATTCTCCAGGCGAAGAAGGAGACATGTCCGTTTCTTCCCTCAGTAGTGTCCTTCATGAACGTGGATATTCGTCTTCCCCCGGCCAAGACCAGCACTTGCTCGAGGCCGCACCAAATCCATTTGCCCATGTCTCATGAAATCCCCGTACCCTTCATCTCCTAAACGCCAAGAACACCCCAAGCCCGAACCCAACAAAATAACTCCCAATGCAAAGAGGTCAGCACCCAAGAAGACCACGTCCCGTCCCGAGTCCGTCTGCATCATCAACTCGGCACCACCTGCGCCGTCTCAGGATCACTACTCCCAATACCCGCCCTCCTCTCCCTCCTCTCCACCTCCCTCGCCCTCCTCCGTGCCCGTCTCCGCCGCTGCTGCTCCGGCCCGCCCTCCTTACACGCGTCGACGCAGTGCATGGCCATGTACAGGAAATGCAGCACCGCGGCGATGAGCTGCAGCCACATGTACCACGGCGCCCACGTCTCCTTTTCGACCCTGAGCGGATCCTCGCGCCAGGCGCGGTACTCGCGGTCCGGGCTCCCCGTGCGCCAGCCGTTGAGGATGATGAAGTAGAAGAAGGCGACGAGGCCGAGGACGAAGAGGACGAAGTCGCCGACGACGATGGCGCCGGTGCGCATGCGGGGGATCTGGTGGGTTGAGTTTGCGAGGGTGACCATTTCGGCCATGGAGAAGATTATGCCTGAGACGGACTTTTTTGGGTAATTAGTACTTAGTCTACATGGTCAGGAAAATGCGTATGAGGCTTACTGTGACGTATCCGAGCGGGAAGTGGAAGCCATATCGCGATAAGGTGATGAGGGCGGCGAGGGCGCACACCTCAAAGACGACGAGGGTGAGGCGGAGGCAGAATTGGAGGATCCCGTAGAGGGCGGGGATGCGCGGGCGCGTCATGCTGGGTTGACGGCGGCGACGGGGTTCCGCCTCGATCGCGAGGTTGAGGTTGCGGGGGCCTCTCTATCGTGGAATCATGCGGCGGTAACCAAGAGGTCTGGCTCATGCGGCTTGCTTGACAAGTTGGAAATTCAAGTGCGGTGGCACAGCCGGTCTTCGTTCGGTCGGTCGGGATCGGGGGTTGTTGTCGTTTGTCGAGGGCGGTGGTATCGCAACGGCGACGGCCTCGGTGAGTGGCAGCGACGGATGGGCCGGCCAGAGAATGAGATTCCCGGAATGCTTGAATTTCCTTCGGGTGCGGCGTCTAGGCGTCGTTTCTCTTTACCGTAGATTCAAAGGTTCAGGTAGTTTGCCGACACACCTGCGACGACGGCCCGTTCGACGGGAGAGAAAGAAGTTGGAGTCAAAGGTCGGAGGTTGGGAAGAAAGAAAGGAAGAAGAAAGAAGTCAGAAAGTTGCCAATATTGGGCGGAGGTTGGGAAAGCTGTCGTCGAATTGATTCGTTTGAACTTCTTTGGAGCTTTTTTTCTCGCATTCAAGGCCCCAACCAACCACTTTACAGAATGAATGCTCCCCTGGTGTGGCCCGCGGGGTGTTTGCTTGGCGATTGAAGATTTGGGCAAATGGAACACAAAGAAAGCGGGCGGGCGCAAATCGCTACAGAAGGGAAGGTCGAACTACTGCGAGATTGTGGGTTTCCAGCCGTTGTTACCGTCCTTTTTTCTGAGAGCTCTGCAAGATGATAGGAACAATGGAGGGTGAGTGGATGGGTGGGTGGTGGTCGCTTTCGAGGTAAGGTAAGGGTCGTAGGTAGCCGGCCGGGATAAGCGGTGTAACCGATCCAGCAGGTTGTCTCTATGAAGAAATCCCGGGATCTCGACGGTGAGAAGAAGAGGAAGGGAAAGTGAAGAAGGAAAGAAACAACCACAAGCTCTGACTAGACACGAGATTTGCGGGGGTTTGCTGACGGCTAGAATAGAACTGAAGAAAAGTTGAGAGGACGGGAGGCAAAAGGATGCCCGCCCGCCTTAATCCAGAATGGAAAGTCGAAAAGGAACAGCGCCAAGCATGTCCAGGCAAGGGTGGGCGCAATCCAGGATGGACAAACGTAATGGGTGGGTGGGAGAGAGAGAGAGTCGCAAGGCCGAGGGATTTGGGGATTTGCAGACAAACTCAACTCAGATGGAAATCCATTGACGATGTTTGGACGGACGGGGCACGGGAGGGAGAGGCATTGGACCAACGATCAAGTCTTTTCTCTCTCCCTAATTCGACTCTTGGGCTGTCCCTTATGCATCCATGCGCTGGTGTTGTCCGTCTTTGAAAGGCCCCGACGACATACACACACACACACACGACACTCTACAGTAAGGTAGAGAGAGATAGGTCTTTCCCCCTCCGTCTCTACTCTTTAGTTTCTACAATGTCAATGTCCGTCAGGTGGGCTGTGCGGCGCGGCGCTGCATGAGAATGGGCAAAAAAGACAAAATGGGGTTCCGGCCAATATGCATGCGACGGCGTGGTCGGGGCAGGTCCTTGGAGTAAGGTCCATCCAGGAGAAACCTTTTTCTCTCATGGATGATGGGACTGGGTCATGTTTCCATCTAGACCTTGAACTGTCAAGGAACCACACGTCAAACTGCCAGAATCCAAAGAGAAGATAGTTTCAACGCCTAAAACGCCATCATTCCTCTTCCCTCTCCCCCCCACCGATCCCAGCCTAGGGCCGGTCTTTGGCATCCCACCCCTTGGCGGAGTCGCGGGAAGATCCCGGATTGTCTCTCCCGCTATGAACTCCCCGATGGACTCTGCTAAATTACTCCGTAGTCCGTACCAAGCCCTGCTGCCCTACTGGCTCAGGTAGCGTATCCGTACCTTACCTAGTCTAACCCGTCGGTAGGGCTTTACCAGGGGCCAAGACGCGTACGCCCGAGGCATTGACAACCCGTAGAGTAGTAATTTTGCCAATTGTGCAAGCGTTGAAAAGTGCTCAAAGCATCGGAGAGCAGTAGCTAGAACCTGCTGGCATACTACGGAGTAGATTAGATTCCACTCACTGTAGAAAATTGTTAGTGACGTGTGCTTGGCAAACGGTAACCGGCAAACGGGCCAGACGGGGAGCTGGGGGCGCATCCCATCGGACCAAGAAATGCCATTGCGTCATCCCATCAACTCGCCCCAGCGTCGCAACGAAACGATGTCACTGGAAACACAAACGGTCCAGGTCAAAACGTGACGGGAATGGAAGCCATGAACCCTTCCTGTTGTTGTTATGCACCTTGAATCGATGACATCTCGTGGTGCCTCCAACTAAGCCTTATCATGAGACGGGAATGAGAGATAATGTCAAGATTGAAGAAGGACTGTAAGATTATACATGAAATTGGGCACCCAGTAGGATGATCAAAAAGCAGGGTCCTTCCATAAATAAATCAGTGGCGCACCCATCCAAGTTTCCTCCCAGTCAGCCCGGTTTCTGCTGTCTCCACATCGCCACCAGTGACCAACTTCACGGACTACACCTTCATAGTACTGTGTAGCCGTAGTATACTGATGGTACAGACACTCAACATCAAGAACTCAAGAGTCCTCAAGCGAGAGAAGCTTACGAAAGGATACGCCTCTCCCGAGTTCCCGTCAAGAAAGCGGGCCGGCCAATTACTCCGTCAGGAGATGACCGTCGCGTTATGAGATCAGATGGGGGGCCACACCATTGCGGCTCACGGCACGTTCCCTTTGTGCCATTTTCCAACCAACACACCCAGTGGTCCCAGTCCAGTTCAACCTCACAGAAACGTAATAGGAGTGGAAGAGCGCGGCAAGCTAGAATGTCACTAGAGCCCACAGTGAGGCTCAAACGGCACCCGCCGCAGGAAACCTGGCCGAGCCTGGCAACGCCTGGGTCGATGAATCCGGTATATCGAGGCATCTCCACCAAGGAAATCCAAAATACCAAGACGGTTTACACGGCACTCACGCGGCACTTGGCCCGGAAAATCCCCCCACAAGCCCTCACAGCTCTGTCTGCTCTGGACTCCTGAGACCAGAATTGCTTGAGTCCAGACAAGTGAAGGCTGCAATGACACTACCCTTGTCCCCTCTATGGACTGCTCTGACGTCAAATTCCCCGGTATTTCTGTATGCTTCTTTTTCCGGGGTCGGGAGTGTGATGCTTGGTGATGTACTTTTCAATGGAGAACTCCCGGCCGGTGGTGGGATTTGACGTAGATGGGAGAGTGCTGCATGGAGACGTGGGCTTGAAAGGACGGTCGCAAGCAGGTTGACGGCGCTGTCGATGACGGACGTCGACGCGTTCCTTGGCCACGATGACGGACTTGTGTCAAGACAGTGCAAGCAGGTAAAGTATAAAGACATCTTCTCGAAGTGCCCCAAGCAGGTATTCTCTCTCATCATCATCAAACACAACCACGACCACCAACACAACTACAATCTCATCCGAGTACCACTCATCATCACCACACTACAATATCCTAAGGATCTCAGACCCTCAACCAATAAACCCATACTCTTCAACACCCTCTACCCCAAAGATCAAAATGCACAGCGGAAGACAAGAAAACTATGGCTCCAGCGGCATGGGCGGCGGCATGGGCGGTGGCTACAACGACGGCCCTAGAGAAAACTACGGAGGAGGCATGGGAGGAGGCATGGGCGGCGGCTACGGCGGCGGCCGCGAGAACATGGGCGGCGGTGGCATGAGCGGCGGCATGGGCGGAGGCTACGGAGGCGGCGGCCGAGACAACTACGGTCCCTCCGGCGGCATGGGAGGCGGCCCCGGTCCCCGCGATAACTACAACGGCGGAGGTGGTATGGGCGGCGGCATGGGTGGTGGTATGGGAGGTGGTGGCGGCTACGGCGGTGGCCGTGAAGAGTACGGACATTCCGGTGGCCACTCTTCCCACGGACGTAAGTTTACTCTTTGGATTTGTCTTGACAAGGCAGGACACAGCGAAGCTAACACCATCATAGGCCGCAACAGCTACGACCGTCGCGATAGCTACGACCGCCACGACAACCACGGCAGCCACGGCAGCAGTCACGACAGCCACGGCAGCAGTCACGACAGCCACGGCAGCAGCGGTGGTAGCGGAGGAGGTCTCCTCGGTGGGATCCTCGGCGGCGGAGGAAAGGATAAGAAAGAGGAGAAGAAGAGCGAGGGGTTCACTGACAAGTTGATTGACGGTGCCGCTTCGTACGCCAAGAAGAAGTGGTAAACCCTCAAAGAGCATCTTTGACACACGCGTCGGAAAGATGAATGATGTAACGAATACCTCTTGTATTAGTAGCCGGGCCTACATCATGGCCTGTAGTAATAATTCCATGATTATTCAGAATTATTGCTAGAGACTTGTCGTGGTTGCGTGTTTGTTTATACTTACTCTCGAGCGTTTGTTGGTCTTTCGATCCTTTCATAGTCCCCTTCACACATTAGATGTCAATAATGTTGGGCGGTCCGAAATCTTGCTAGCTCATCACCATACACAGAGATCACGTTCAAGCGCGTCCGGAATTGCAGTCATTATGAATCTTGGGCGATCTCATCGCACCTCATTCAAATCTGCCAAAGTGGCCTTCGGGGCATTTTCGCTTCCCGGTGAATACTCTTGTTACATGCCCTCAAAAACGCCAAATTTCATCCTCTCTCGTCAATCAAAAAGGGGTCCGCTTCCCGAAATGTCCACTCCGAACGACAATACCCCCCTTCCAAGTCTCTCGATAGTATCCAGAGACACTGCGTAAGTCAGAAGGATCACCAAAAATCAAGGCCTTTCCTCCTCCTCTCGTAACAGGTATGGAGCGAGATTTTTGTAAAACCCAATTTCCCTTTTTTGCCCACCTTCCAGATCTAATCCGGGGTACCACACCCCAATGCTGATGCAGGTTGTCCAAAGCAAGGCGAAACAAAAGAAAGCCCCAGGCAAGGGGTTGAGTAGGGCAAGTTTGAAGAATCAGTTGCAGGGGCTAGGAGACCACAATCCTCCAGAGAATCCTCGATAAACTCCGATGATAAGAGGTGCAAGAATGCTCTGGGTAATGCCCCCTTTGCCAAATGTACAGGTCGAGGCCAAGAGCGTCGATGGGTAGTTCGGTATGTACCAACTGCGAGATTGTCGCCAAATCAAGAGGTCGTCAGGCGTCAAGCCGGGGCCGTGAAATTTACACCGGATCAGCGAGTGCAATTCGCGAATCGCACGTCAAGGCGCGCTCACTCTTCCTTCTTGGGCTTCTCTGCTTCCTCAGTGGGCTGCTTCTTCTCTTCATCAGCCTTGGCCTTGGCTTTCGCCTTGCCCTCGTTGTACTTCGTCATCTTCTCAGACATGTACCGAACGGAACGGCCGACGCCCGCGGTAAAGAAGCCCTTGATTGACTGGGCGGTTGCGGGCCAGTTTACGGTCTGGCGAATGACCTTGCGAATGGACTTTTGCAGCTCCTCGGGCTCATCTTGGACGATACGCTGCTCGAAGCCACCTCCCTCGCGACGCTTGAAGCTTACGGCGTCCTCGTCCTTGGAGGCATCCATCATGGCCTTGAAGTCAGCAGTCGGTACCATGAACTTCTTCTGGTACTGGAAGTAGAGGCGTGAGCGGAAGGCCTTGGGCAGGCGACGGACTATGTTGCCACGCTTAATGGGGTCCATGTCCTGGTACATGGCGCCGTCGTACTCGGCGTCGGCGACATGCTTGCTCTGCTGGTCGGCTCCGTCGGCGAAGTCAACGTTGGGGAGAGTATTGAGCAGCGGGCCGTATAGCTTGCGGAAGGAGACCATGTTGTTGTCCACAATATTGGAGATCTTGCTCTTGTTCTCGGTGGGGAGAGACATGCGCGGATCACCGAGGTACGAAATACCGGCAATGGTCGAGAAGAGCTCCTTCTCGGTGAACTTGGGAGGCAGAAGTAGAAGAGCTGTGCGGACCGCCGAGATCAGATTGACCTGATTCGCGAGGCGAACTCGGGGGTGGTCACGCAGGATCTTAACCGGCTTGTGAAGTCTTCCCGCGAGGTACAAATTGTTCCAGGTCGAGAGGTCGGTACAGAGGTTGTCGATGGACGTGACGCCGTACTTGATGAGCATGCCCTTCTTGGTGACGTAGGGGTTGAAGTAGACACCTGCGCCCCAGCGATCCTGGGTGGTAGAGACGAGGCCCGAACCGAAGCTGGCCAGGCCAGAGTAGTGGTCACGGTGCTGCCTGATGTTGAGCGAATGCCAGTGCTGGGTGTGGGTCACACCGAAAATGAAGTCAATCATCTTGGGGCCGCCTTTCTGCACTTCCATCAACGAAGGAGACGGCTTCGGGTGGACAGCGCGAAATTCCTCGTCCGACACAGAACGGCTGATTTTGGACTGCGGGAAGACACCTGAGCCGTACGCCATGGCGTACATGACAGGAGCGCGGAATTCCCGGACAACCTCGGTCAGAACCTTTTTGAACTCGGCATTAACCTCCATGTGCTGGTTGATGCCAAACTCCTTGTATGGGAGTTCCTCGAAATCTTCAATCTTGGCATCAGGGTGTTCCTCCCAGTTGTCCGCCGACAGAGTCGGGCCAGTCCTCTCCTTCTTCTCGCGGCCCCAGTGAAAGTTGATCGCAGAGCCACGGTGAGTGTAAGGAGGAGGGCTATCCTCCTGCTTGTTCTCACTTGTCACATTCTCGTCCTTCTTGCCAGCATCCGCTGAGTAGTAGCGAGCTTGGTGGGAGAAGCTGAGCGCAAGGCCAGGCACGGCCACGGCTCGAAGCGCCTGGCTGGTGTTGCCTCGGAGCTATCCTGCACATCAGCCACGGTCGTTCCTAGCTGATTCGCAAGTTTTTGGAGAGAAAATGGGGCTTACAAGGAGGCGCGAGAGCGTCATGATGGCGATTTGCTGTTTATGGTGGGATTTTGATAGTGTTGATCTTTCGGTAGTCGATGTTGGGTTGAAGGGAGAAAGAGCTGAAAGAGGGGAGAAGCAACAGTCTCCTGGCTGCCTGTGACTTCCACCTGCTCAAAAGAAACACAACAACTACTTCAAAAGAGGCGGGCACACTGATGTTCTCAAGGCGAGAGCAGCTGGTCGGATCCCAGTTCGGTTTAGACCGGGTCGTCAAGCTTAGTCGTCGCAGCCAGGCTCAGCCTTGTGCTCAGTATTCCAACCGGCCCAGCAGCAGACCCTGTTATCCAAAAAGCCTGCAATAATTCTCTGTTTCTGATGAATCGAGGAGCAAGGCTGAGTGAACGTTGATACACTCTTGCCAAGGGGATCGCAGTGGTTTCGAGCTCGGTTGTCCCGGACAATAATTCTCGTGCTGAGTAACGGCCCCTTTCGTATGCCCCAATTGGCCGAGCTTCTCCTTCGCAAGCGGTTCGATCGAGGAATCGTTATAGTGGACGTCTAGGCTCGGGAGGTCGGCTCGGCGTGGGCGTTTGGGGAGTTTGGTTGGGGTTTGCGGAAGGGGGGTAATCCGGAAGTTGAAGCTATCGTTGAAATCTGCTTCTGAGCACCGGAGCTTGGGAGAGCACAGCAACGCTTAGTCGCAAGGGCACGGAGCGGATCCTGGTCCATGCTGCCGCCAAGTCAGGAACAAGCTCCAATACATGTGGGATGTGCCCATCACGTCATGGTGCAGCTGTTCCCTGTCGCCCAAAATACCCCAGTACTATGCTCGTACCTGTTCTCTACCCGTTTGTTAGTTTGAGCCACAGGACCACTGGGTCTAGAGCCTTTGGTGTTTGTCTTACACTATGTAAAAATCCGAGCCGGCTGGGTAATGGTGGAACTGAAAGGCCATGTGGATGCCTGCTCGGCTAGTGTTTGATGAGAACAAAAGAGCTCATCTTTGCCGCATAATGGCCCTTGGCTCTTCCCGGCCATGGAATGATGGGCAACTGGCGAAATCCGTTTTTGTTTTTCTGGATAGATGATAATCTCACTTGGAGGTGCCGGACTTTCTGATGTTATTATTCTGCATGTCTCGAAAAGTCGTGGGAATCCTATGAATAAGGTTTGGAAGAAGATTTGGTCAATGGCTCTGCCTGAGGCTGGGAGAAAAGAGCAGACCGAGAGAGCAAGGTAGTTACGTTGGAAAGTGGCAGAAGCAACTTGTCGCGAGAGAGGGAAGGAGCGATTTGAAGCTTTTTTGTTCTCCTAGTTGCTGGGGAAAATAGACAGACAGCGACCTACTCACTGCATAATCGCAACCTATCTGACAGTCAAAAATAGATTCTCAATTCTCTCCGCTCTACATTCCGTTTCGATCCGATTTATGTTGTGATTCAATACCAAAGTTCATCATGTCCGACATCGTCATAGACGAAGACGAAGACTCAAGAGGCGCGCAAGAGATGGGCGTGCTGCTCAGGAAGAGCCAGCGACATCCCTCCCGCTCCTCACCGCGGGGTGCAGTGACACCACCAACAGCAGGGCCCTCCATGTTACGTCACGTGACTCTATCCCCAGCATCCCCGGCCGTCAACAACCGCCAAAACATTGGCCGATCCTCAGGGCGCGTTGAGACGAAGAAGAAGCTCCTTCAACAAAGCACCGGCGCAATGAGGTCGCATACCCCCTCGGGCGACCCTCCAGGGAGGCGCGCCTCCGTCACGAACCGTTTCCGCAATAGCACCGGCGGGAGCGCTCTTCCCAGACCCCATACTTCCTTGAGAGAATCCAGGGTACGCTTGGTTGCCTCTAGTAAACAAAAACAATGAGAAGCGTTGGCCCGCTGACAACGGAGAGTTAGACTTTTCGCGCAACACAACCAACATACAACCTCTTCACCGGCGGCGATGCCAACAGTAGGCCAGGCTCGCGCGCAAGTCTCGCCGCCCCCGACTCCGTCCGCGCCTCATCCCACGAGAGCTCGAAAGAAAACATGGCGCCCCCCGATGCCGCCGAGTACGAGTCTCAGCGTCAGGTCATTGAGGAGCTCAAGGCCGAGCTGGGTACCCTGCGCTACACCATCAGCACCTTTGAGCAGGAGAAGCAGATGGCCGACGCCCGACACAATGCCGAGCTCGAGGACCAGCGCCGTCGCGCCCAGGCCGATTTCACAGCGAAACAAGCTGCCGAGAGTGAAAAGTCCCAGGCGGCGCGCCAGCTAGAGAATACCCAAAAGGAGTTGAGCGACCTCCGCGACAACATTGCGGAAGAAAAGACGAGCCTAGAGAAGCGTGCGCGCGACGCGGAAGAGGAGGCCCGTTTATTACAGGAACAATTGGAAGACTTATCAAGCTCCAAAGACGAAGCCGCGCGCATCAATGAGAGAAAGACGATCGACCTCGAAATGCAGCTTCAAGCTGCCCAAAAGTCGACGCAGGAGCTGGAACAAGAAAGCCAGGCCCGTGAGGCTGCTCTTCAGCAGATCCAGTCGCAGCTCGTGGACAAGGACAACCATGTAGCCGACCTCGAATCTGAAGTTCTCCGCCTCAAGGCCCAGACAGGCGACGCCGACACAATGGCCATCATCAAGCGCGAGCTCTCGGAGCAGGTCGCGCACATCCGCAGCCTCGAGGCCACAAACCGTGAGCAGCTCTCAGAGCTGAAGCACCTCCGTCAGATCCACCGGGCCGTCGAGGTCGTCGAAGAGGAGAAGCGATCCCTTCAACGTAAGCTCGAGGCGGCCCGGTCCCTCGAGACGGAGCTCGCCGAGGCACACATCCAGCGCCAGCGCCTCGAGGACGAACGCATCGCCTGGACGGGCTACCTAGCCAGCACAGACAACGGCAGCGGCGATCTCGAATTCGACTCCCCTGAGGCTGTCGCCCGCGCCCTCGTTGAGCAGCGTTACGAGAACGCCGCCCAGCTCGACAAGATGGGCTCCCTACAAGCCGAGCTCGCTGCGCAAGAATCCTCAATCAAATCTTGCCAGGAAGAAATTACCACCCTCAAGTCTCAGCTCGCCGACGCGAAGTCCGCCGCATCAACCCCCCAAAACGTCGACAAGACCCGCCTTCGTACGGAGCGCCAGCGTGTACTGGCCGTCAAGGAGGTGGAATACCTCCGCGCCCAGCTCAAGACCTTTGACGCCGAAGACGAGGCTTTCCAGCCCGAGGCCGTCGACGAGACCCGCGCCCGTCGTATCCAGGAGCTCGAGGATCTCGTCGACAAGTACAGAAGCGAGGTGCAAGCTCTACACACGGAGATGTCCTCCATAGAAGCAGGTAAACCACCCGCCGCCGCAGACCCAATACCAGCAGCCGGCACGAAGCGCCCGCGCGACGAAAACGACGACGCCTCGGCCGCGCAGGAACAACTCGGTCTCCTCACCCGCAAAAACCGCAAACTCCAAGACCAGCTCGCCGCCGTGCAAACCCAACACGCCCTCACCCAGAAAGAACTCGCCGTCACGCAAGACCAGCTCAAGGCCCTCAAGACACAATCCAAAACCCGCGTCCTGTCTCTGCGCTCGAACCCGACGTCAGACTACGAAGCCATCAAAGTCGCCAAGCTCAAAGCCCTGGAGCAGGAAAACGCCGACCTCCTCGCCCAACTCAACGACAACGAAAACGTCGACCTCGTCCCGCGATCCCAGCTCGACGCCGCAGACCGCCTCGTGGAAGAAGCCCGCGCCGAGACCGCATCCGCCCAGAAATCAGCCAAGCGCCTCAAGGAGGTCTGGTCCAAGAAATCCCTCGAGTTCAAAGAGGCCATCTTTTCTACGCTCGGCTGGACCGTCATGTTCATGCCCAACGGTAAGATGCGCGTCGAGTCGACGTTCTACCCCTCCCAGACGGACGAGTACGAGAACTCTATCGTGTTTGACGGCGAAAAGGGGACCATGAAGGTCGGCGGCGGGCCGAGGAGCGCTTTTGCCCGGAGAATCGGCGACCAGATTGGCTTCTGGGTCCGGGAGAAGGGGTGTATTCCTGGGTTTTTGGCGGCGTTAACGTTGGAGTTTTATGAAGAGTATTCGAGGAATCAGATGCAGACTGAGTAAAAAGGAGCAATGACGATGAGGCTGGATGCTGTGTATAGTTTGTCATGGGATGGAATACACGGCGGGCCTCTGAGGGGGAGGGGGGACGAGAGCGGAGTTTTCTCGCGTACACATGGCGTGACGGCCAGAAAGCTGCTTTCGCCCACTGCATATTTATTACTACCACCTAGCTAAGACGTGGCGCGACGGAACATGAGGACGGTGGAGAGGGAGAAAGAAGGAGAGGTATAGCCTCGGATGGGAGGCTGGCTTGTACATGTTTTGATATCACGATGATACCTCCACCTCACGCCCCAAAGACGCGGTGTTGAGGGTTTCGGATGCTTGACGGATAGTTATCCTTAATGATACTATGGCTTTTTTCCTTGTTCATACACACTCTTTGCGCTTTGCACTTGGTACTTCCCACTTCAGCACACCTAATTGGTAAAAGTCACACGAGTAAAGACACCGGGTATCTTGAAATCTCTCTTTTTTTTTTCATCATATCGGTACAGAAACTACCTACAAGCAAAGCACCCCTACAAAAAAGTCCGTCTCCGTCATCAAAGGGATGATCCCGCAAACGAGATCATACTCCTCGAAAATCCAACACCAGACAGAAGATGGGGAGGTAAAAATCAACAAGTGACTGAGCCAGACAAAATGATTATCCGGGGGGTGTCTTCTTTTCCTCTCCTGCCATGCGCTCGCTATGTAAAATGGTCTGTCTTCCAATGGCAATACAAAGTCTAGCACTTTGAACGGGTATGTACACCTCGCCACCACATCTTCCTCATTAAAAAAGTTCATGGTTGCAAAGATTACTTGGCCTCATACTTGCCGCTAGTAATCTTCTTTACCAAATTCACGTCCACCCACTGCTGATCAGCTGGCAGCGCCGGCGAGGTCGGGTTGTCGTCGGCAAAGGGATCGGCATCTTCATCCTTGCCCTTGCCCTTGGTTTCTTCCAGTCGAGAAATGGTGATACCGCTGCCCAGGGTCTCCGGGGTAAGCTCCCAGCGGGCTTCGATGTGGCCAGGCTTGGGTTCCGCATTCTCAGCTCCCACGATACGGCACACAATCTTTTGGGTCTCGTTTGTGAGCGTCAAGTCGCCCAAGCGCCAGTACACCAGGTGCTTGTCTTTCAAATGTGTTCCCGTCGGCTTTGTCTGGGCACCCGAAGCCTTGGCACCCTCGTATGTGGCGACGAATACGACGTTCTGCAGTGTGACAGGAGCTGTCAGGTTACTCGCGGGGTTCAGGGAATACTGCAAGAGAAGTCCGAGCTTGTCACCCTGCGGCTTCCAAGCCGGGCGGATCAGTAGAGGGACTTGCGCCGCCAGACCGGAGCCGTCGGCATCGCCAGCGTGTACTCTATACGTAAACGCTGTGGATGTCTTGTTGAGATGCGACACGTCCAAGTTGAATTCATCGGACTTTCCGGGGCTGTTCTGAACAAAGATACGGTTGGGTCCAATAACTTCAAGGCTGGGGAAGTTGTTGATCCTGATCGTCTCATGTTCTGTACAAAGTTAGCATTTTGAAGTCGGCAGAACG